AGGGTGTTCGGGGCCCTCTGTCCGTGGTAGCTCAGAGGTAACGCGAGAATCGCGGGTAGAGTCGCGGTCAGCGCGTGAAGGGGTACTCGGGATCGAGTAACTAGAAGGAGTGGGTGTGGCGGTCGCGTCGCAGACTGCTATCGACAGCGTCGAAGAAGAACAAAACAAGAAGGGAGACGAAAGAAGGAAGGAGAAGTGTAGCGTAGAAACGTAGAAAATAGGGAAAAAAGTAAAGGAAAACAAGAAAAAGGATGAAGACGACTGGTGCAGGTACCAGACTTAGCCAACTAGATAGGAATCGTAGAGGATCCTACCAGAGATGGGGTCCGATCACCTGATGCCTCTTTACTGTAGCGCCTTCCGACTCCCGACCTATATAGGCGGAGCGCCGTCGTCGGCGTCGGTTACTAAATGGGTAATTAATAATTAATTATCGTCATTAGAATTGCCACTTGGCATTAGACGCTAATTAGCGTAGAAACCTGTGCGCACCACGTATGTATACGTGTCGTACACTTGTTGTACACGTATCATATACGTGTCATACAACTGTCATACACGTGTGTCCACGTGTGGTACACGTGGGGTACTTTCCCAAGTCTGCGCGCACAGTACACATGTCAAAGGCGAGGAGCGCAGCCCCACGACGGCGGTGACCAGGCGTACAGTGCAGGGTCACTGCACTACATCGAACAAATTAATTATTGAACTAATATCGCCCCGCTGGATACAGGCATTCATAAACCGTTTCCAAATCGTCAGTAAGGCCCAAACTGGGAAGCTCATGGTATTGCCGGCCAAAAAATCCCATATTGAGAGGGAGGTGGCGTACCATCTTGGGATGGTTGCTCGTGCATTTCGTTTTGGAGCAATGGACGAAAATGACGTCTGTAATGCGGACGCAACGCTCTTTCTGATTAATTTGGATAATCACAGGACATTGGGAGAATGTGGCGAAGCTGAAGTGAAGTATTGGGACGTGGTCTCGGGGTCTGAGGGAATGAAGATGATGGTTAGAATCTCTTATGGAAGAGATGCTGTTATTGAAGCGCCATTTATATTTTTGCAGAATACCAATAGAAGTTATCCGATAAAGGGGGTCCCAGACAATGTAAGAGGGGCATCGTATCGTTCAGGTCCGAAAGGGTGGATGGACAAGACGGGGTTTTCGCAATATTTGGCAGAGAGCAAGGTTTTCAAATGTTTGCCGCATGGGCGGAAACGCATTTTGTTTGTTGACAATTGTGGGGGGCATGGGATGTCAGAGAATTTAGAGCAGGCGTTGCAAGCGTGTATCACTGAACTACGCTTTTTTCCGCCTAATGCCACAGATTTGATTCAGCAGGCGGATTCCTTTGTCATCCAAAAATTAAAGGACGCATGGCGTGGAAGATGGAACAGATATAAGATGGACGTAATTATGCGAAATGGGTTCGAGGCGGCTTCTGGGAAAATTTCTAACCCGGGAAAACATTACTATTTGACTTTGAACGCAGCCGTTTTGAGGGACGTAAATGCAATGCGTGATGCAGATGGAGTGAGGTACGCCCGAAAGGCTATGATCCGCACCGGTCTTGCCTGTAATATCAACGGACAATGGGAAGAATCCCAGCTGTTTCCAAAATTGCAAGAGATAATGCAGAAGTATAGAAATCACTTCGATGGCGCTCCCGTTGTTGATGTTGATGATGAGTAAAATGTGTCGATATGCTAACATGGACTGGTTATGATTGGACAATAGCGTGTTTATCAAAATAGTGTAGTCTTCACTAATATGTTCATTGAAAATTAGTCTGGTCTACTCTATCTTAGGTTGTGATGCATATAGTTCGGGTACACATATTAGTGCAGTCCGCATTATTACGTGTGAGGGTGAAAATATATCCTAGACTTTTTATAGTCTAGCCCAGACTAATTGCGATGTTTGGGTGTAGCTGTTGATGTCAACAGCTGTCAACAGCTACAGTACTCTTCTCATCGGCTTAATTTGGGTATGTGAAGGATTTTCCTGAAATCGGTCATTTTACTCCTCTACTGCCCCGGTTTTCTGGCACTAAAAAATCATTTTTTGGCCGCTCCACGTGCCATCCGGCTCAATTCGGGTACAGAGTACCCACATACTGTACATTGGAGTTGCGACAATCCCAGCGAACTTCGTGCCGCGACGTGCTGCCGATCTGCACGAGTACTCTCTTCCCTCCATTGTCGACGAGACGGAGAACGTCTGGGCCACTTTTTTACGGAACTATCATCCAGAAAAGTCCAAAAACTGCTCTCTAAATTGCGAACAACCTCCTCCCTTCCAACAGGCGCCTTACTTCCCTTCTCACCAATTGACCTTGTTGACACACGCCGCCCCCGTGCCTTGATAGCCCGTATGTGTTTACTATCCACATTTCCACACCTCGCAGGCTGTGAGAGCATCTGGGGGGCATTGGACGTCAGAAAAGCCACGCCTTTCATGCTTCTAACACTCATACGATGCTTTAAGGGCGTCTACTGCTTTCTTTAATATTTTTAGTTGTAAAAAAATGCGTTTTGCGCGGCTAGCGCGCTCTTCTCTACTCTTGGTGATTCGTCACCTGTGTGCGAGGGTTTGTGCTTTCATTTCCGGCAGCATACTGCCACCGTCGAGCCAGGAGGCGGGAAGAGAAGAGGAGGAAAAACTTTACTGTCCAGGTGCTGGGTGCGTGTATGTGTGTGTGTGAGATGGACTCTGCATAGTTTTGGAAGGCGGGGAGGGCAGAGGATCGTGGGTTGAAAAGTGCCCAAATTAACCCATTACAGTACCCAAATTAAGCCGGTGAGAAGGGTAGTCCAAACTGCTGCATTGCTGGTCATCAGTATATGAAGTACAGCAAGGACAGGCGTGTGCCTCCCGAAAGCAAAAGCGATCAAGAGCTTCTTTTGGAGACGAGATTGGGACAGAGGCAAAAATTCAAAACATTCAGTGTTTTGACTGATCTGTTGTAGGTGTGCAAAAACCCAGGAGAAAGCTTAAATTTATGTTCGAATTGTCCGATTGCGTGGCCACCAGCTCTGGAAGCAATCAAACTTGAGAGAGCACGTCGTGGACCTGAGACAGGGTCTACTTTATTCGTGTTTCTATGACTTTGGTCGAAACCGTTTCAGACAGATGAAGCAACTGCATGTGGGCCCAGTCGATATGCCCTCGTCAGCCAAACGGTTTTGTATTGGTATGCATGCTTTCACGCTTGCTTCTGGTCAGACGCATTGTAAAGTTGCTATGAAGCGGGGTTGGGACATGATCTGGCAGGGTAAAGGACTGATCTCATAACGGCTCGTCCTGCTATCAGAGTGCCTGTTTTATGCACTGTATGGTGTCTACGAGAAAATGCGAGAATGAAGAAAGTGTCCAAGTGTACTGTAGCCTTAGTGGCTCGTTCTCATTCCAGTCTGAGACGCTGTGATTCGTTTCGAGGGCGGTCCCAAGAGTGGGAACAAGCGTTGATGTTACAAAAGTCGTAAACGTTTGGATATCCGTCAAGTTGCATCTAGCAACAAGCACGAAGGCAAGGCGACCGGCATGTGAACGAACATAAGTTTGCCCTGGTTGATGTAATGGGAGAGATGGGTTTGTATAAACCGAGAAGGATAGGGTGGGTAAGCCCTCGCTACTTTGAAGGAGTAGAAAGTGTTGGAAGTAAATGCTAGGTGGACAAGGCAGCAAGCACAATAGGACAAGATGTTTGAAGAGTCTAACGGCTCTTAAAGCCGTTAGTCTGTTGCTAAGTGATGCAGTTGCCCTTCACATCCACACCCGGCTGTCACACTCTGTTAGTTGTACGGGATGTAAGAAGAAAAGTTATCCGTGACGCTCTTTCCTCTAACTGACATCGCAAAGGAGGGGAGGCTTGCTCTTGTGAGCTGCATCTGCGACCGAAAAGCATGATTAAGACCGCTTGGTAGTCGCAACATATGCCAGGGTCAGAGGGCCAAGGGAGGGCAGAGATCAAGGCGTTAGGATGGTGGTAAGAGGCGACCGTTATGGTGGGGATTGCGCGAGGCTCGAGAGAGTGACGCGCCAGGTTCTGCCTTACTCAGCAATATGCCCCCTGAAGGAGTTTTACTGGCTTTAATTTCGCAGAATCCTCGCTGGCAGGCACGTGCACTGGCGGATGCAAAGAAGGTTGCTTGCCATGCCCAGCGAATGACTTGGGGCCGAGGGGCCTTTTTTGACCCAGTTTTTTGGCCCAGAGAAGGCCGTACGCCTTGTTGACATCAGCAGTTGAAACGGCAGGAAACGTGGCAACGTTTGTCCCGCAAAGAGCGGTCATACTGAAGAGGTGTCAACTTGACACTGTCAAGTGCCTACAGTTTGATCTTGGTGCACGGCATGAAACGTGTGCACGTGTAGTCGTGTACAGGTTCTTACACGTGTTGATCCGTATTTTGTTGACGGAGCTTGACGAGTACAGTGAAGTACTTTACACTGTCCTGCAGACACACGATGCGCTTCCCAGCACCGTGTTCGCGGGGCTACTGTACTGCTTTTCGTGTTCGGTTTTGAGTCTCGTTTTAGGGGACGGTTCAAGCTGTACCCTTGGGTACAGTAAGTTGCGTTTTATGTACAGTATGCGTTTTATGCTCGATGTGACAACGCTAACCGCCTCCTTCTCAGCCCTCTTTACTGCCTCTGACAACATGATCGCAACTTGTGCCGGACTGCGCAACTTGACAGCTGTACCGTAGTGCGACGCGAGGATCTACTGGTTCCCTGCGGCTGCGCATGGCTCTCTCGACAGCGAAACACCCTTAGTTCTAACGTACAGTTCGCAGCAAGGGCAGTACGCCCGATATTATAGGCAGCGACAGAGCAATCGTGTGCAGTTGTATAGATGTTATACTGCAGAATGAGGACAGTACTGTGTCGTTAAGCCTTCCCTAAAAGAAACGCGGAGGTTGCAGAAAAGGAGGTGCGAATTGCTGGAAGGGGAGGGACCGGAGCCTTTCAGCAGTGTGATTCCGAGTCGGTGAACATGGTATGCGCGACGACGCGGGGCGCGTGGGGCGCGACGATGCGCGACGCGACGATGCGATGTTTCCACACCACCGATGAGGGAACGGTATTAGCATACATACTGTACGGCAGTGTACGGCACCTTCGTCCGCGCTTCCCCAGCGCCGTGTGGAAGGGACTGTACAACTCAGGAGCTATAACCGCCTCATCCGGCAAGCAGCTTCCGCGAACGGGCCTTACTTTAGGTTCACGGGGAGAGGATTGAAGCGTGGCGCC